ACTGTTATTTTCCTCATCATTTTAGATTTCAATATTTTTATTGATTTAAATTTTGTAAACTCTGTGAAATGACAGAGGATCTTGTTTTTGCCTTGTGGTTTTACAGATGACTATTATCCAAATAATTATTGACAAATATCAAGAGTCATTTGAAGACCATGACATTCCAATTTGTAAGGATAATCAAAGTAGGTCTGATGATGTCAAAGTGTCATTTAATACTGCTGGTAAGTCACCTGTTATGAAAAGTGTCATAGATGGCCACAGTGGGAAAACTTCAAATGCTAATACTGAAGAATTAATGATTTCATCTACTCCTTCTCTGGAGGAAGTTCCTTCATTTAAGAAAAGGGTTAATTATTCATCAAATGAATGGAAGGTTGATATCATTCCCTGGTTATTTTGTAAATATCATAACAGCATTTGGGCATATCATGATATTGGAGTATAGGAAAAGGTTTTTGTAAACAACAGTTTAATTAAATTACATAGGAATATTTATATATGTATATACATACATATATATATTTATACATACATATATATGTTTATGTATACATACAGACACAAACACATATACATACATACTTACATACATGTGTGTGTGAGACAGAATGACTCCCTGTAAGAAATCCAGTTTATTGTCTGCTGTATTTCCCATCTTTCTTCCCTTGGTTCTTTAGTCATGTATGATATCTTGAATATGACACTATTTTTAAAACGATCACCTTAAACAATTATTTTTTAAATCTATTAAACATACAATATGATTGAACCATGTGCCAACATGCATTGCTACTTTTGTCCATAAAGAGTAGTGTTTGTTTCATTTCCTTTGAGAGATATTCTTAGCTAATGCTTAGCATTTGATATAAATATTAAGTTACACAGTATCCTCTATAACACATATATGAAGAAAAATATAGATGTCAAAACATACCTGATTTAACAGCTAACACCATTCAAATTCAGAGGTATTGTTAAGTCAATTAACTCTTTGTTTAGAGTTCAGAGAATATACTAAAAAACTAGTTGTATCTGCAGTGTGGTGAATCTATCATCTGAGAATGTTTGTCTAAAGATGACATTTTATGTTTCATTTAGCAGGGGACAGTGTAACACCTTCAAAATACAACGTTCCACAACAGAAGCATCCTCATGACTGAAGGATGTCCTGACGATTCTATTTCAATGTTCCCTTCTATCTTCTACTTTACCATCGCAGAAGATATTATTACAAGAAACAACTGCAGTTTTATATTGAACCATATTACTTGCTGCAAATAGTTTCATTCACTATACTTTATGTTGTGCATTACATAAACTTATCTATTATAATAAAATTTTATTCAATTATATTATTGCTTAAACTCCAACGTGCCTTATTCCTGATTCTCCATAGTCTTTAAAATGGCATTTTTAGTATTCTCCTCCTCCTCTCTTACGCAGGCACCTGTATTCATTTGACAGATATCCTAGAATAACTTTATTAATTATTTCTTCCAAACTACAATCAAAATGACATTCTAAGCCCTGCTGGAAAAATGAAAGTTGGAGAATATTTGACCAAATTATTCTAGCTTCTCACTATAGAACAGTCCCCATGGCTAAGAATCAACTATTTAGCAGTACAATAAAATC